AAAATCATCAAGAACATCACATCTGATTTTCGTATAGAAACTCTAATAATACCAATCATCCATTCATATACCTTCCAAAACCATCAACAAGATAAAAAACGACAACTACTGCAGCACACTTACCAAGAATAAATTGACATGCCTTATAAGGCTGAGGCGACTGATTTAGCGACAGAATGGTCGCCTCAGCTGCCGCTGGATTTATATGCATCTGCCGTATACATACAAGGTAAACAGTTAACAAACGCCATATGCAAATGCCTTACAACAAATAATTCAAATAGAAACCGTTACTATTAGATTAAAATCACCGATTGACATCAACAACAACTAGTGTTAATCGCCGGTTAAGTTTTTGATACATATTACTAAAAACGACAGCGTTCAGTCAGATATTAAACAAAAACCTGATTAAACCTATTTCTATTTCTTCTTAAAAAAATCCTTGTATTAAGTTTTTGAAACGACAGCGTTGTTTTGATTTGAGGTGCTATTTTCTTGCAGATTCTCAGTGAACAGGAGAATGAAAAAAGGAGAGGACCTGGATAGAAGAGCAGGCGAGCTCAATGGTGTGCATGGTGGACTGGAGTTGCGCCAGATCGGGGATGCCGTCCCCTGTCTGCTGTTGCTGCTGCATCGTTTAAGAAGTCAGTAGCAGATTTAACAAGAGAAGATTGGATTAACAGTGGTTTGGGAGTTTGATTATTTAGAATGATTGAGGTTTTTTGCTCTGTTTTCTGCTTTCCGTTAACAATGCAGGAGGAGGAGGAGCAGGTGGCGGTGGCGGAGGCAGAGAAGTGGAAATTTGAAGGGGGCAGTGAGGTGTGTTGTTTGTCTGTTATGTATACCGGAAAATGTTACGAGCACGCTAGAAATTATCATCTCCACACCGATTTTTTTCGCATGTAGTCAGAATTACAATTTTATCCTTCAATCTCTTTTAGAAAATAGCTCTCTCTGTTTTCTTTTTTCTGCCATTCAGGACAGAAATAAACTCAAGAATCAAGATATTAATATGAAAATAAACTCAGAAACCCAAATCTATAGTTATCGTACTTAATAAAACTATTAGTTAAATCTAATATTAAAATATGTCAAGGGCAACAAAGAAAAGCAAATAACCAGTCATTTTGCAATTTCCACTCATTCGAGGGACTAACATGAAAATGTAATCTACAACAAGTATCGAGTTGTAATTTCAATTACTATTAAACCCTAGGTAGTGACGTTATTTTTGTTCTAACTACATCACAAAACTGAACTGAACAAGAAAGCCTCTTTCTGTCACAGCTTACAACAAGGAGACCACAAAACTAAGTTTTTTAAGGTTTGTTTGTGATTTATGTGATAAATTCAATCAAAGTTTCAAGCTTTAATGGTTTTTTAAGCTGCTGTTCTGTAATGGGTTCTGACGTTTTGTGTGGTTTTAGTGGTTAAGGCTCTCTCTCCCAGTATGCTTGTGTGTTATGGCTTTTTGTTTCAGTTTTGATGTGTAGTTAAGTTGTATTGGCACTGAACTCGAAATAATTATGATTCTGGTTTGACGTTTTGTGAACTGGTTTTTAGAATTATCAGAGTTCAAGGAGCTTGGGGGATTTTATGTTTTGGGGCTGCTTGTTAATTCTTGTTTATGGTGGAAATAATCCATTTATATCTTTTTTCTAATGTGAAGGTTAAGAATTTGATATGTTCATGAGGCAAGACGTGCTTTTCTAGGCCTTAACGGGCTTGATGTTTAATGACTCTGCTCTATGATTGAAGTTGGTTTCGACTTAGCTTAGTGTTTAATATAATATTTTATGAGAACAGATATGGTTGTGATTTTGATCTGGTAAATGGATTTTTAAGCTTTTTGTTTCTTTCAAGTGTATGATGAATTTTCGTTGTGATAATACTTCATTTTCTTGTATTTATTTATTTATTGTTGGATTTTTGGTTTACCTTGTATTCTTTTATTATTTTTGAGATTCTTGATTTGTTGCTAGCAATGCTAACTTTTACTGCTGAACTAATGCAGGCAAGAAAATCTTGGAGAAAGTTCCCTGTCGATGAATGTGTAAAGCAACTGATCAACTGTCCTTTTCTTGTGAGAAACCAAGCCTTCTATTTGATGAACTATTAAAAAGAAGGTGTTAGTTACTGGATGCTTATTTTGTATGTCCTTGCAAAATCACAAAGATAATTTTATTAAGCGGGTTGAACAAGATGGGTTTTACAGTTTCCCCGCAGAACTCTATAGTTGAGGTTCATTGTTTGCGAGGCTTGCAAAGGTGCTCTAATCAAGCTGGGTCAAGTTTCTGTGTTGTTAGTTGCTCAGCATTGAAGGGGTCAACTTTTTATCTAAATTGTTCAATAAATTGCAGTTACAGAAATCAGTTGTATTGGCATGGGAAAGAATTTCTCAGGTCTGGAAGAACTTTGTTTTCTTTACAGTGTAGAGGAGTGCAAAGTGTCAGCATTGATAGAGTGGATGAAAATGATCAAGATGACTGGAGCTTAGGAAGTCATGTATCCGGTTCTGGGAGGGATTTTAGAGTGGAAATGACCACAAGGAATCATGGATCTTCAATTTTGTTTGCTGATGGACCCCTTGTTGAAAATGATGAGGAAACCAACAATGAAATTCTTCAGAATTTGTGCAAGAAGGGGAGCTTGATGGAAGCAACAAAGCTGATAGATATTATGTCACGTGTAAACCAAATTCCCAACTCCACTTGTTCCACAAACTTAATAAGGGGCCTTATCAGAATTGGTCGGATAGAAAGAGCTTCAAGGGTTCTTAAAACTATGGTCATGTCTGGTTTGGTTCCGGATGTTATTACATACAACATGATGGTAGGAGGTTTCTGTAAGAGAAGACAATTAAGATCTGCCATTGATCTGCTGGAAGACATGAGCTTGAGTGGTTGTCCCCCAGATGTGATCACTTACAATACAATAATCCGCAGCCTGTTTGATAATGGAAAATTTGATCAGGCTGTGGAATTCTGGAAGGGGCAATTAAGGAGGGGTTGTCTTCCTTATCTAATACCTTACACGATACTCATTGAGCTAGTCTGGAAGCATTGTGGAACTGTGCGGGCCTTGGAAGTATTGGAAGATATGGCTATCGAGGGCTGTTATCCAGATCTCGTTACCTACAATTCATTGGTTAATTTTGCTAGTAAAGAGGGAAAGTACGAGGATGCAGCTTTGATTATATACAACATTCTGTCTCATGGGATGGAGCCCAATGCCATAACTTATAACAGTCTTCTCCATTCTCTTTGTAGCTGTGGATTATGGGATGAAGTAGATGAGATCCTTGCAATCATGAAAAAAACTTCCCATTCTCCAACTGTGGTTACATACAACATTCTGATTAATGGGTTGTGCAAATGTGGACTTGTGGAGCGGGCAATTAACTTTTTCGTTCAAATGGTTTCTGAAAATTGTTCTCCTGACATTATAACTTACAATACTCTCCTCACCGCTCTATGCAAAGAGGGAATGGTGGATGAGGCCCTTCAAGTATTTGTCCTCTTGAGTGATAGCAGCTGTTCTCCTGGGTTAATAACTTACAACACTGTGATTGATGGATTGACTAGAAGGGGCTATATGGATGAAGCGATGAAATTATACAATCAAATGATAGAAAAAGGGATAGCTCCTGATGGTATCACCCATCGTTCTTTGGTTTGGGGGTTTTGCTGGATAGATCAAGTTGAGGATGCTGTGGAGATATTGAGGGAGATGGGAAAGAGAGACCACAGGATCAATAGTAGTGCTTACGGATTGGTAATCAATGGATTATGTAGAAATAAGAGGGTAGATGTTGCAATACAAGTTCTGGAAATGATGATCTCGGGTCGATACAAGCCAGATGAAGAGATTTATTCTACTTTAATTAAAAGTGTTGCTGATGCTGGTATGGTTGAAGAGGCGGATGAATTGCATCAGAAGTTGATAGAAAGAAAGGTTCTTAGAACCATATTGGACAAACCATGATTGCATGGAAGATTTAAAACTCATGCTAGTTCTTTCTGGCAAAATGAGATTGCCAGCTATTTCACGGCAAAGTATACAGAAGACACATAATGGAAGCTCGGTGCCTTAATATCATATTGAGTTGGTTTTTCGATCAGTTTTCCCATGGCACAGATTCTTTCAGGAGTGATGATGTATGATAACTTGGAAACATTAGTGGCTAAAATGGGATAAGGTTTTATGTTGCATATGTTTCCCTTGTATTAGGTGGCTTTGTGGTACTTTGTTCTGAAGTCAACTTATGCTGCTTGTTTTTGGTGGATTTAGATGTGTTGAAACTTGTGTGTAATTCAAACTGAACCTTTCTTTACTAGCTGGTTTATATTTCCTCCTGCATTTTTTGCTGTCAGATTAATGGCTCTGAAAATAATTTTTAACAAATAAAAAAAATATTATTTTAATATATTTATAAAATAAAAACACTTTGTACCAAACTCACAATTTGATGATCCATCGGACTTGTGTACAATAATATGCATTTCCGAAGTCTTTCCTAGCATCTATTCAAATTCAAGATTTGACATCTGCCAGAAGAACAAAGCTGGAAAAAAAGAAAAGGGGCCAAAATCCAATGAGCAAGCAGCCGTATGTTCTGAAGATCTGTCCATTTTACCATGAATGATCGATCTTCTATTTAGCAAACGAACAGCCAAAGGAGGAGAAGCAACTATCATCCTCTAACATTGACTGAATGCCACTGATTTGCATTGCCCTAGCAATCCATTTGAATGTCTGTCCTTTGTTGGGAGTTCATTTTTATCAAGCAAGGCCCGGAAATTTTAGGCTTCGGATCTCATGAAATCTAGCCATTATTGACAATGCAATTCCTTTAAATAAGTTGTTCTCCATCAATGATCAGCAGAACCATTTTAATCCATGCAGTTCTAGTCCAAATAAATAAACTAAAGCAACGTTAAGGTAATAAGTTATTTGACTGAATAAAAAATAGAAACAAAGACTTGGATTCTATTGCGTTTCATCCTGATAAGATAATAAGAAAATTCCGGTATTCCTCGCCAAAAGAGAAACAACCGAATGAAAGAAGACTTGGGCACATGTTCGAAGCTCAAACGCAAAAGCTTGTTACCATCTCATTCTGTAAAAATCCCCAGTTAGTACAGAAAGATGGGTCTGCACATATTGCTATTTACAGAACTGTGATGTTGCTCTCTTGTACTCTTTCCTCAAGACTCAAGACATGAATCTCCTCTCCATAGTACTGACATTAAAGAAAGAATGTGGCAGGTTAGTCCAAAGGACATAGAAAATCACCTCAAGGTTCGAGCTCTTAGATTGTGCCTGATAGGTTGCTTCTTTGATTGCGGGCTCTGATGTTATGCTCTCAACAACCGAGTGAAATGCTTTTTACTCGAAATGCCATGAAATATACTACATATCAGGAGTCTCGGGAAGATAATTCCTTGCTGCATTTTGTTTCTTGTAAGTTTTAAGGCCATACAAAGAACAGACAGCCCAGATCAGAGCATCTGATATGGTCATTAGACATCCAAGAACAGCAAAAACTAGTTCTTAGTGTCCAAAGACAGTGAGGTCTTTGTAAACATCAAGCAAAGGGAAGACCTTGTTCAAACGTTTGTATGAATCTTCAGAAATAGCGTTCATACTATAAAGAGAATAAGCCAACTCCATAGCTTGAGCTCTTGATCCCGAGAAACCAATACCTTCAATCAACAGCGTATAAGTAGTTTCATTTGGCTGGCAACCATTTTCAATCATTGCTGTCAGCACTTCAATAGCATCATCAATTCTATGTACTTTGCATAAACCAAGAAGAACGATATTATAGCTGACTATGTTTGGCTGGAACCTACCACTTAGCATGTCTGCCAATAGCCCAATAGCTTCATCCACCATTCCATCTCTGCACAAACATGAAATAAGTGAATTATAAGTAATTCCATCTGGATCAATTCCTTTGCTAAGCATCTGCGATATCATTCCTAAGGCTCTGTATCTGTCTCCAGAACCCCACAGTGCACTTAACATTGTGTTATAAGAACTGACATTTGGAGGACAACCCACTTCCTCTAGCTTTCCAAATATTTCCACAGCATGATCACTATTTCCATTCTTACAAAGAGCGGCCATTATTGTATTGTAGTTGACTATATCTGGCAAAAAACCATCAGAGATCATGTAATCCAAAAACTTGATTGCCATATCCAGTTTTCCCTCTCTACAAAAAGCAGCAATCAATGGATCATAACAGTAAGCATCCGGAGTCAAACCCTTTTCCTTCATAACCTTCACTAAGTTCACCGATTCCTCAATTTTCCCATCATGACACAGTGAGCCAATCAAAATGCTATATGTAACCACATTAGGCTCGCAACCTCTTGAAAACATCTCATTCATCAGTTTCTCCCCTTCATACCATTTCCCTTGATCCAACAACGCTCGTAACAATATATTATATGTAATCACATCTGGTTTACAACCCCTAGAATTCAAGGTCCTAACAAGCTCAAAAGCGTGATTAACCTTCCCCTCTTTGCCCAACCCCCTAACAATTACATTATACGTAAATGTATCTGGTTCAAGCCCTTTTGACAACATCTCATCCAAAAGCTTCAAACCTTCATCAATCCCACCTTCGAGAATGTGTGCCTCTATCAAAATCGTGTAGGTAATAAGAGATGGCTTACAATTGTTATCTTTCAACAACTCTTCAAAAACCTTCAAAGCCAAATCAATCTTTCCCTTGCTACAAAAAGTCCCAATCATTATATTGTAAGTAACAACATCCTGCGAAAATCCCTTTCTTTTCATCCTATCAAGCACTTTTTTTGCACTTTCAATCCGATTAGCCTTACAAAACCCACTGATCACTGCATTATAAGCAAAAACATCAGGTTCACCATGCTTCTCCAGAATCTCCATCACCCTAGTAGCCTTCTCTATATTTCTTGAATTAAAAAACCCTTTAATGAGCTTAGTACACATAATAACATCAGGCTGATAACCTTTTGCAACCATACATTCAAGAAAGTAGAGCGACTCATTACACTTGCCTGCTTTACAAGACCTATTAAGCAGTTTCATCAAATGGGTTTCTTTGAAATCATAAGATAAACCATGGGTTGGTTTTGTTTCAGGTAAAACCCTCCTTAATTTTGGTGGGTTTCCAAGATTACTGTTAGTGTCATTACGAGTAGGGTTTATGCAGCTAACTACATTGCTTTGAAGCGAATGTAAAGAGAGTTTAAAATGTTTGCTAGTAAAGGGAAAGCTGTAACTACGAGAGATAAACTCAGTGGAAAACATTGTCATGCTAGTGGCTTTGTTATCGTTCAATGTTCATGGATTGTCATTTTACAAAAGAACCAGCCGTAGGCGAAGAAGTAAAGAGAGTACCTGTAAATTTGCAAGGAAAAGGAGAGAAACTTGAAAATTTGGGAATTGTTTGTAGTGTTCTAGAGATTGTTCTTGAACATCTTGAGTCTTGTGGAGCAATTTCAAAGGAAAAGGGCAAGTGTTTGTAGTCAGCCAATCGGATTCCAGTGCATGCGTTATGGATAAGGGACACAGCATGGGTCTGGTCTTTAGGATAATTGGTCTTGAGATCAGTAAAATTTGGTTGGAGATTATATTTTAAAGTATTTTTTATTTTAAAATATATTAATATAATATTTCTTATTTTTTGAAATTATTTTTAAAATTAGTGAATTAAAATAATTAAAAAATAACTAATTTTAAATAAAAAATATTTTTAAAATATAAAAATGTGCTGATTTAAGATGGTGAAAAAAATGAAGATATTTGTCGTTTAGAGCTTGCTGCACGTGACATGTCGCTTGAATGCTGTAGGCATAGAAAAGAAGAAGAGAGAGACTGCACAGCCCCCACAGTACATTATTTAATACTGTTCATTCTTTTCCCCTCTTTTTTTTTTTACATGATTTTATTTTTTATCATTTAATTTATTAAAAAATAAATTTTATAATTTATTTTCTATATAAATATTTTAATATCATGGTTTATGGTTTGAGTTTAGTGGATTAACTTTATTTTTTAAAATTAATTTTTTTAAAATTTTATTTTTTAATATTAATTTGATAAAAAATTAAGTATCATGTTTTTTTTAATTTATTTTTTATTAAATTATTTCAATCCTGAATTATAAATTTTATAGGTTAACTATAATTAATTAGGATTGTTTTATTGTTTCTTATTTAAATTGATTTTTTTTAGTTTTATTTTTTAATAATTAGTTGATTAAAAATTATATTTTATAATTTGTTTTAATTTACTTTACACAAAGTTATACGAGTCTAATGACCTGAGTATCGAGTTTGATAAAATAACATTTTTTTTATGAGTTTATCTCAATATCATTATCAGGATCGTAGATTTAGTGAGATAACGTGAGTTGATTTTGATTTTTTTATTTTTTTATTTCAGTCGTTAACATTAGATTGATTGTGAATTAAACTTTATAATTTATTTTTATATGATTATCCTAATTTCATAACTCATGTTATATATTTCGTAGGTTAACTCATGTTAAGTTTTTTTTATATTTTTTTAATTAATTTTTTTAATTCTATTCTTCAAATATTAAATTAATTAGATATTGAGTTTCATAATTTATTTAATTTTTTTATAAAAAATTATCATAAACTCATAACCTAAATTTATAAATTTAATATATTAACTCAAGTTGATTCAGATTGATTAAATATATTATTATCTAAATATTTAAATAAAATAATATTATCTTAAACTTTTTTATAATCAACTTATACTTTTATAATATATTCAAATTATTTTTAAATTCATTAAATTAATTAAATTATATCAAATCAATTCTTATATAATTTAATTTTTCTTTTACAATAGTGTTAGTACACTTCGTTTACATTAAAAAAGAGATCACGATAATAACAAATTTCAAATAATCCAATAACAGCTCAGCATGTTCATGCCAATAGTAACTCCGGAAGTGTGACATGCTATATATATCCTTTTTTTTTTTTTTAATAATAGTCAAATTTTATTGCTGAATACTATGTATATCCTTCACATTACTTATGTAATGATTTAATTTTTATTTTTATTTAATTTTTATTTTTAATTATATCCTTAGTTCCTTTTATTAATCTAATCCAAAGCATAACATGGGTCAACACTCTAGTTTTAATATATTCGAGATGAGAAACTGTGTTTATATGGTGACAGCATAAAATGTTTTTTCAGGATCAGAAAAAATGTTAATATTATAATTACTATAATCTTCTTAATCTTTAATATTCGTGATGATTTAACTATAAAAATAATACTTTTATTTCATTCAAATTAAAACTTATCATAAAAGAATAAATTTATTAACTAAAAATATATTTTATATAAGACTTATAATTAAAAATAAATAAATCTATGATTGTTAAATAAATATGAAAATATAAAAAAATAACTTCAATGCTTTATAGTTTATACCAGTCAAAGTGCTAATATATAAATGAAGGATATTGTATTATTTAGCATTTCATGTTTTTTTTTAATGTTTTTAAATTGTTTTGATATGTTAATATTAGAAATATTTAAAAAAAAATAAAAAATATTTTTTCAATATATTTATTAAAAAAAACACTCCCCATGCACCAGCCTACCAAAGTTCAGCTTTGCCCTGAAGTTGCTAAGTCGACAGGACAGGACAGACAATACGCTTTGAGCCCTGAGGATTCACACGCTGCCTCCCAATAGACTTGTAAAGCAAAACTTGGATTCACGTCCCAGCTCGAGTGATTGCTTCATCGTACATTTCCATTTTTTTTCTTGTTCTCAAGGTATTTCTCCGTAAAAAGCTATATAAGATTGATTGTACTTGTTTTTTTAAATCTCTCTACCTGTCAATTGATTTGAAATTTTATGGTTGTTATTGGCAACAATAAGAGATTTATCTATCAAGTTATTCTCCTTCGAACCCTATTGAAGCTTCCTGGTTATCACGTTAACATGTTCCAAAGAGAGGATCTTTGAGGACATGCGTATTCAGCATGGTCTTCAGGATATATATTGTCTGTGCTTTAATGTCCTCATCACAAGGTGTTGCTGTGTAGGAATTCATGAGATGTAACTCATTATCCATAAAGATAACAAGGTCAGCATTTAAGCTGGATTTACATACAGCATGGTTGGATGTATCACTGAGATTAGTTGTGAAATGCCTTATCCAACACAAGGAGACGATGAAGCCACAGAGCCTGTTAAAGATAGAATAAAGTATAAGCAGGTACAAGTGAAGGGCGGCAGAAAGTTGACCACTGGTGTTAGGAACCGTGAAAGATTGTTGCAGAAACTGGTAATCTTGTTTTACTGCTGGATTAAGAAAGGATAAAGCATCTAAAACAGATGCATCAGTAATGAATTTCTTAAGCATGTGGCCCAATGTTGTGTAAGTGACGAGCTGCTGTATTTGGAAAGAAACCAAGAAATAGCAGTATCTGATCATACATGCACCAGATACACAAAAACAGAGCAGGCAAACCTTCAGAAAATGAAGAGCATTGGCTGATGAATAGTGTGCAGAAACGTAGTACATGCAAGATTCGACAAATTTCATCATCGTTATCAGACGTTTCATCTTCTTGTTTATGGCAGTACTCCTCAATGATCATGAGCATCAGCCGCTGAACTCATCAAGAAATGTCAACATTTTTTTTCCAAATAGGTACTGGATTTCTTTGGAAGTGCTATGATGGCTGTTCCTCACCCCCTCCTCTCTCATTTTGTTTCTTCGCCTTCTCAGTGGTTTTTCTTTCTTCCGACCTCTTCAATCAAGCTCAAAAATATGACATCAAAACTCACAGTGCGATAATGAAAGCAAGAATTATCAGCCCAGTTCTGGATTTCTTCAACTCATGCAGCACCTGCAGGCAAAGAGGATTCATCTATAGCTAAAAAGCACGAAAAATGACTAAAATTGATAGTCTCCAAATCTAGCTTCTCAAGGAAACTGATCAAAAGGCAGAAAAAAGCCAAGATAGTTTACTCTAGTGATAATCTAACATATGAAGGCTAGCATACAGTATTACAATGCACTTTTAACAGGGTGAGGTTGGCTCAAAAATTCTAAAAGCATTGATACAATTTGAATACTCTCATGTCATGTACGAAACTAGCCAGCAGCGGTGATTCCATGCACGATAGTTCATTTTTTTATCTCTGCAAAACAAGTGAGCAGGAAACCATGTTAAGAGCACCACACCCAGGCTTGTGCATTCCTCGTCACACGTACAGTTTAGGGGATATCTCATCAAAGGTTGTGTTCCGAAAATCATTAGTTTGATCACTAGCAGAGATACAAACAAACAGAGAGCAGCAAATATGGTTCTCAAGCCCTATCAAGTGTCATCATGGGAAGATATATGCTTCACAAATTTATACTGTGATGTAAACCTCAGATATATATTTTCTCCACTAGCTCAGATTCTTTCCCTCCGATGTCTCGAAAAGCGGAACAATATTTTCCAGCAATCATCTTAATCACCCGCCAACTGTCAATTTGTTCATACATCCATAAGAATTGGGTTTTGAAGTGTGTGTGTGTATCTTGGTGGACATTAAAAAGCATTAACATATTAAGAACAGGAAAGAATAGCTTTTGGGAGAGCATGGAACTATGGAAGGAGAAGGGCTGACGATAGAAGTTCATCCACCAGCATAGTCATATGCTGCTTCTTTGACGCAATGAACTCCCTGCATGCAAATACAAGGAACAAGCATTGCGATCATGGGTTCATGGTAAAACTATGCAACAGATTGAAAATGATTTAAATGAATGGAAACACAACACATGCACAAATATATCTATATAAAATTGAGGGAGCAGAAAGCTAGAAATACCTGGAGTATTGCATGCAGTCCCAAAATCACAGCTTAGCTATACAAGAGAAGACTTGCTATGCTTCATGACCTCACTTTCAAGATTATTCTCGTCCCAGTATGTATCCGACGGATTCTTAGGCCATGTTTCTTTATAGAAGTTGTAGAAAAATAAAAAATATCATTTATTAATTGATTATAACATATTTAATTATTAATTTTTTTATTGTTATATATTTTATTTTATTTTTTTAGTTTCATTATTTAAAATTTAATTTTTATATCAACATTTATTCTTATTCTTTTTATTATTATTTATTTTATTTAAAATAATTTATAAAATATTTTTTTAATTTTATCCATTTTTAATTTTTTTCATCTGTCGGTAGAATTCTTTAAGTACTAAAGATAAAATTGATGCAAAAAATAGATTAAAGCAAAGTTATTTAACATAGCTTGTCCTCGGTTTAACTTAGAATATATTTATTTTCATGTTTTAAAAAATATTTTTATAAATATTTATTTTTTTAAAATTATTTTAATGTATTAATATCAAAAATTAAAAAAAAATTGTGAAAACGACGCTATTGCCATCAATCAGTCAAAACTAAGAATTGTATTTTGAGAAAAAAACAAAACATTAACCCGGTGATTCAATATTTGTTATGAAAATCACGATTCAAGCTCTAAACCGAGTCAGACCCGAACCGGTTTGACAACTAAAGTCAAGGTTGTGATTATATTTCTTTGTTTTATTTTATTTATTTTTTAGTAAAGTTTATTTAAAAATAATCTGCAGCTTTACTTTTCCAACTTTCTCCCAAAAAAATCTCTCTCCCTCTCTCTATTTTTCTCTCTCTGCAAAAAAATTTCACCCCCACTTGAACCGAATCCATTTTCCTCACTCAAAAAGAAAAAAAAAAAATTCTTTTCTCCTCAAAAGATCTATGCTTGGTTGGTAATTGGACGAATCGAAAGATTCAGAAATAAATTGAATTGAAGAAGGCGTGGTTCGATTCAATAGAAATAATTAGAATCTAGGGTTTGGCGATCTATGTTTTGGTTTGATTTTAGTAATTATGGAAACAACGACGAGCGATGTTGTCATGTTAGATGCGGAGTTGCTTCAGCTACCAGAGATTTCGCCTTTAGCTTTCAAATCTTACCCTCACTTTCCCCAGACACTCTTCGATCAGTGGCTCTCTCTTCCCGATCCCAATAAGCTGGTGCCGTTTTCGATATCTCTTCCTATTTCTTTTGCAGTTTTGTGTTCATTTCGATTCATTTTTTTACTTTTTAGTTTAATAAATTATTATCACAATTATTTTTATTTTGAATTGTTCTTGAATTGTGGAGTGCGTGTGATCGATATGGAAACACACTTGTTGTTGATTTGGTATTTGATGAAGTAATTATGGGTTAACTTGATGCTTTTTCTTTTTTAGTGCTACGGAAAAAAAATGGGTTTTTGATGCCCAAGTAACTCTTAAAATAATATAATTATTTAGTTAATTAATTAACATGCTAATGCTTCGAATTAGTTATGTGCTATGTTGAAAAATCATGGATTGGTTCATTTTTATTAACATTTCGATGCTGATAGAGTTGCTTTGCTTTGTTGTTATGGTCATATAAATGTTTGTGTATACGTTGTATTTTTAGAGAGATTTTTTTTTCCTGCTTAAGGTTAAGGAGAGCAGTTCAACGGTCATGCTTGATACCTATGGGTTTGGCATCAACGCAGAAGTCCAAGTCTTGTAGAATTGTTAGTCTGCATGTGTAAATTTGAACAGGGAATTAATTTAGTTTTTTGTTTTCTTTTTTAACCCCCCTTCTTCTCTTTGAATTTATTTTCATTTCCCATAATGCATTTTATTGCCAGTATTGCTTTTTTTGTAATAATTGTGTCTGAACTTTGTTCCATGGCTTGGATGACAATGTCATCGTAACATTTTTTGTGTACTTTCTGTTCTGAAAGGAAACACAACTGATGATTTATTTTTATATAGACCTTTTCTTTAATGTGGTTATAGAAGAGAAGTTTTAAAATTCTTGCTTTCATGATTTTTATTTTGCCGATCTGTTCTTTTGTGAGTTCTTATAGGTGATGTTCCTTTGAGTAAAATTGTTTATATAATATGATTGCTTATTTCTCTTCTCTCTTCATATTTGTCCAGGTGACATCCCTGGTTAATGATGCCAAGACAGGTGCTCCATTGAATGTCTCTGGAAACTCTTCTAGTGCAAATGCTGCCACTGTTAATTCCTTACCTTCCATGTTTCCTGCGGGGAGCACACCGCCTCTTTCTCCCAGAAGTTCAACTGGTTCACCTCGTGTGACAAAGCAAAGGGCTGGCCCATCTAATTTAGGCTCTCCTTTGAAAGTAGTCAGTGAGCCAGTAAAGGAGTTGATACCACAGGTTTAACAAAACCCCAATGTTTTTTCTTGTCACACACAAAACAAAAGGATGAAATTTATGTTGCAGTGGCCACTATTTCCTTTCATTTTCTCTGAAAAGAGATAACAAAACTAAAGCATAACTGAAACAAGAAATTTCTCTGATCCACCATGTTTTTGTTCTACTCTTTTCTTCATGGTTTTATCTATGAATTTTTTGTTGAGTGACATGGATTATATTTTTTTAATATGTATACTTGTGATGCCTGTAGTTTTATTTTCAAAATGGCCGCCCCACACCAAATGAACTAAAAGAACAATGCTTGATTCGGATCAATCACTTTTTCTATGGCCGCTTGGATGGATTGCAAATACATGGTGAGGTCAATGATTATATATCGAATTCTGTGATATTTGATGAACTAATCTGTTTGTTATTTATTTTGTTTTTAGAGTTCAAATCGGTCACAAAGGAAGTATGCAAACTGCCATCATTCTTCTCCACGGTTCTATTTAGAAGGATTGATGTTAATAGCACTGATTTCGTGACAAGGTATGTACTTGTTGTCTTAGGTAGTTTATTGGGCCTATGAAAATGATTATCCTGTTGTTCAAGCTGTAAATACTTTAAAATTGTTTACCTGATTCAGTTGTCATTATTTCAAGATTTCTCTTCGATACCCGATGACTCTCTACTACATCTGGAAATTTCTCTCACATTTTTTTTTTAACTATTTTCATTAACTTTGGAACAATAATTTTAGGACTTAAAAGATGGTTGTCTGGATTGTTATGAATGCTCGGGCAAATAGAATGATGGGAGAGTGGTTTTCAGTTTGAGTGGTGATTTGAGAGTTTATGGTAGAAACTTAAAGAAACAGACTTTGGGTTTTCTATCACACTTTCCTATGTCTAGGATCAGAGACAGCTATAGAATTAAAGTGCCCTACTCTACTAACTATCATTGTTTCTAGTTTTACAGTAAACCTAGAATTAAGCTCCTTGATTTTCACAGATCAAGGCCTTGCTCTTGCTCTGTATCGCTTTGATTTACAAAGTCGCTATGCAAGGAATTCTGGAGTGTGTTGTTTAGTGTACCTTCCTTGATTTGCAACCCCCCTACGCACACACACTAACAACAACAATTGTAGTTATGAACCAGTTTAACATTTATATGCCAGTTAACAAGAATGACTGCCATACATTTTGTACACTGCCAATTGGACTGGTAACCAAGAATTTGTTATTTGGATTTTTAGTATGTGAATTTCTGTATCTTTTTTTTAGCTTAAACCTTTTGGGATTGTGGCTTCAAAGTGAAAATTCATTTGCATCTCTCTCTCTCTCTCTCTCAAGAGCGTTAGGCTTTGACTGTTAGAAACTGGTTTGTTTAAGGTGGATTGCTATTTGTAAAACAAATATGGTTTTTAAATTGCAGTTGCAGTCATGGCATGGATGGAATTTTCTAGTCTTTAAGAAATTTGTCTCGGTGAACAGTTTAGAAAAATCAATCAAAAGGGTAGGATTTTTTATATTCAGTAATTGATAATTTCTCAACTTAGAGAATATTTACTTTTAACTCTTGATGCTTTTTGTTACATTAGGGGACCATGCTTTTTCCTGTTTGTGGCATACAGTGGATATTGCCAATTAGGATGGACTGCTTCTTGATGCATTTGGTAGATTTAGAGAGGAAGGATTATAATATTTTGAGGAGAGGTGCTATCTTTTATGGTGTTTCGAGATAGAGGGAGGCTCTAGGATAGGTGGAACATGTTTTTTCTGCTATATGTGGTAACAGTGGAATTTGCCAAGTAGAGTGGACTTGTTCTTCATGCATTTTGTGGATTTTTGGAGAAGGGTTATAAGATTCTGAGGACAGGTGCTATGCTATATGTTGTTTGGAATGGCTCTCTAGAATTCAAGGTTCTTTTCTCTTGATGTAGCTGTTTTGGGGTATGAAAATAGCAATTGTCGCTTAAATTCGGTGTAGTGCGTTTTGTTTTAGAAGTGGAAATGAGGAGATTCAGTGTTGGTGGAAAAGCAAAAGGAGACGATGAAGATTGCAGTTCCATTCTTCCAGTGGGGGAACTAAGAAGGGGTGGATTGTCTGTAATTTAATGGCTGCCATGGATATTGGGTGGATTGTCTGTAATTTAATGGCTGCTATGGATATTGGTTTATACAGGCCTCTATAGATGTGAAAATAGTACACCCTTTAGCTTAGGACAAGGGACATTTCCGGCTGCTTGCTGCTGTTATTTGAAACTATGAAAGAA